CTGCCAGAGTGTACCTTGACCGTAGTTCATTGCAGAGAACGTTTAAAATTTGCACAAAATTATGTTTATTGGTTGAAGGCTGATTCGAATAGAGTACTTTTTACAGATGAGAGTAGAATCTGTATTTACAATTGTGATAGTTGTATTGGCGTGTATCGACGTTGGAACGAATATATAGTATACCCAGCGTGATATGCGAGGAACGACGTTATTTGGTGGAGGATCGAATACCGTCTGGGGTGGCGTTTCTTTAACGGGTCGTACAGACTTGGTATCAACCATCACCGATATATCTTTGACGTTGTTTAAGACCATGTTGCGCCATTTGTTTCATATATTGGCGAATATTATGTTCTAAAAAATGGTTACGCATAAGCGCACGTTGCAAATTGACGTTATGGGTTGACTAGCGAATAGTGCGAATAGTGCTTATAGCTATAGAGAAGAATTAGGAGTTACTTGGTAGATGTATGCGGAATTCTGCTAATCAATTAAACACTCTGCATGAACTGGAACAACGACTTGTCTAAATTTGGAATAAATTGGACGAGAATTCCTTAAGATCGTTTATATGCCAAGTTGTCATTCGTAGCAGGTATGAAAATACGTCTTATTAAGCAAAAGCATTTGTACAATTTCAATTTTTAGGATTAGCGATTTTGTTGTTTATTGTTTTAATATTGCGTTAAATTTATAAATATTGAAGATGGTTAGCGACAACATCATCAAATTTCTTTGTTTTACAAAGCAACTAATATGAAATAAAATTTATTTGATTTGAGTTAATATTTTTATTTTATAAGTATGGTAAGTGCGTTAATTTCTTGGAGCAGTGTATATATCGACCTTTATGAACATTTATAACTTACGTTATACAGATATGTGAAAACTATGTTAAAATTTACGGTAACTAACGTTTTTTTAACAAATCAACTATTCTCATTGTCTTCACATTGTTGTTACGCACGGCGTTGTGCTCTAATCCTATAAAAAAAATCGGCGGCTCTGGTAGGTTGTTGTCGCGTCACTGTTCATTTTGTGATATAATTAAAAGTGAATATATGCACCGAAATCAATAATAACTTTTAAATTATTCAGCTACGTCGCTTTGGACAACTAATTAAGTCTGAAATTCATTAAAATTGCCAATTTGTGGTTTTGACTGAATTTCATACATTGTTAAAAAGGATGTTTCACATTGTTTACTGGGTTGGTGAATTTCAGTGATGTTTTTATGAAAATACTTGTTAGAGGCTTTTATAATTATAGAGGTAAATATTCTAAAACTAAATAAAATTTAAAAGTAAATGTAGGTTTCTACTGAGAAATTTGTGTTTTTCAGTATTTCTATTTTATAAAATATGATATTTAATACACAAATTTGGTAGTACTTAAACAAATATACATGTAAATTTCTTATATAACTGATAAGAAAAAGGTTCACTATTATGCTAAAAAAGATAAAAACATATCAAGAATTTAGAAAAGAAAGATCCGCAATAGACGCCACTCACATTGAAATAATCAATGGAAAATTTCAATTAACTCTACACTGAAGTAGAACTGTTGATTATAGACATCAAACAAGCTTTTAACAATTTAAGCAGTGAATGAATGATTTAAGACTTAAGAAATATCAACAAACTAAAGAAACTTATAGGATTAATTACCATAAGAGTCATAATTCATCTTCTTTACGTGCCCTGTCCTCTAAGAAAGTTTGCAACCATCATAGCGTTTCGAAATTTTGATGTCGCTGATCTGAATAGTTCTGGAGAACTGCACTGGAATCACGTTCTTAAATTGCTAGTCAGAAAAGGCGTCTTATATTATGGCTTCTTCGTTCTTGTATTTTCTCCTGCATAAATTCATGCAGCAGATTTTAGCACTTATCTCTCATATAATGGCCCAAATATTGCAACTTTCTAATTTTGATAGTATTTAGGTATCCTTCTTTTGCTGTTTATCCAGTTCTTCATCATTTGTTAGTCTGTCCACACAGCTTATTCTAAAATCATATTTCAAAAGCCTCCAATTTTTCGGCGATCTCTTAGTTTAGCGTCCATGCCTCCTTTCCATACAGCAGCCCATAGAACATGTACTCAAAATTCTTAATCTGGTTAGTCTAGATCTAACAAATCTTAGTTACAGAAAATATTTTTTTATAGTACATTCATATCTAGCTTGTCTAATTCTTGATTTGTTTTCTACAGCATATTCGTTGTTCTTGTTAATTATTTATCCTAAATATTTGTATTTTTGGACTTTTTTATTTGTTTTTCGTGGATCATTGTGCTCTCTTGTGGTTATTGTGGTTTAGTGATCACCATACGTACTTACTACTCGTCTTTATGGCGTAAAAGCATATAGAGTAAAACAAGTGTATCTGAATAAGGTAACCACCTTTGAATTTTGATGTTACAGAAGAATCGAATATCAGGGACTCGAAGAATGTCAACCAAAGAAGTTACTAGAAGAATACCAAAAGAAGAAAACGTGAGTACTTAGAACATCTAATGAGAGGGCCAAAGTACTTATTTTTACAACTTATTATGCAAGACAATTGCATCTATTTAGAGCGGCAGTGAATAGGTTTCGTATAGCCATGATGATTATCTACTTTTAATAGAAGATGGAGCTTAAAGAAGAAGAAGATAAAAAAAACTTTTCACTAGCATTTTTATATGTTCCATATATATTGATAAGTTTGTGCATATCTGGTATTATTTGATCAGGTCCAGGGGCTTTATTGTATTTTGTTAATTTTATTGCATATGATACTTCTCTAGTAATATTTGAACTGGTATCAGTGGTTGCTTGTTTAATCCGTCTCTAATTTAAGTTTTTTCTCTCTTTTCTCTTCAAAAACATCCTGCACGTATTGTCTCCATCTTTTAGGTTTTTTTTGGTGTCTGAATCTGTCTTCTAATTTCATCTATTACCAAGTTGCCCCAATTGACCTTACTCTTTTCATTTCTTGATACAAATAAAAAATGGCATGAGACAAGGAGCCTTTTAACGATATTATTGTTTACAGCACTTATAAGATTGTCCAAAATTACAAAAACATAAGATTAAAAAGAGTTCATAATTGGGCACTATAATTTACACTAGTTATGTATACGGCATGTTTACATTAAGATAGACACGATTTTCTAAACACTCAAGGCTAGTGTTAATTAAGAAGTATCTTCCAAATTTAACGTAGGTCCGACATTTTAACAAATCGTAAATATAATACATTAATCTTTTGTTCCTTACTTAAATATTACAAGTAGTCTACGGACAACTGTTGTATCTGTTGTTACTCTTCTTTAACATCAAAGAAGTCAATTTTACGTAACAATTTGTATTTTCACGTTTTAGAGAAACGATATTCATCGTTCAAACCCAAAATCAGTCAAAAATTTTTATTTTGAACGTAGTAGTGAAAATTCTAAATGTATCTGCGACCGGCGACTTTGAGTTGATGGGCACACGGCTTGGTGATAGGTCATTAATAGATTCCTACACTGAAACGCGTATCTATAGATGGTAGTTTATACTTGACGTCCTTAAACAGATTTGTAGAGGAATCATCGGAATGGTTTCTTTAGGATTAAGTAATTGTTACTAAGCATTGGGATGTTAACTATTTTGAAATCTTTTGTATGTAAAGAGTATAACTATTAGTTACTATATATATATATATATATATATATATATATATATATATATATATATATATATAAGAAAAAAGAAGTACTTGTGACTCGTTTGGAAAAAATATAACACTGTTTTTGATGGGTTGGAGTCAATAAAAGGGGCTATTTGTTGACTATTTTTTACTCGAGCTTTCAATTGTGATTACAATTTTTATCAAGAGCTTCTAAAAAATACAAAATGTCTTACAAAGTTGAACTAGAAATAAAAAATTTTTTGTTAACTCACCAAATAAAATTAGTTTCTTATATAAAACTACTGCTTACATAATAAATACAAAAAATATTAATAAAAAAATGCTTTATTCTAATAAATGTTTCTCTGAAAAATTTAGATGAAGTTCATCTAAATATTTCAGAGAAACATTTATTAGAATAAGGCATTTTTTTATTAATATTTTTTGTATTTATTATGTAAGCAGTAGTTTTATATAAGAAACTAATTTTATTTGGTGAGTTAACAAAAAATTTTTTATTTCTAGTTCAACTTTGTAAGACATTTTGTATTTTTTAGAAGCTCTTGATAAAAATTGTAATCACAATTGAAAGCTCGAGTAAAAAATAGTCAACAAATAGCCCCTTTTATTGACTCCAACCCATCAAAAACAGTGTTATATATATATATATATATATATATATATATATATATATATATACATATATATATATATAAATATATATTTAAATATATATATATATATATATATATATATATATATATATATATAAATATATATATATATATATATATATATATATATATATATAAATATATATATATATATATATATATATATATATATATATATATATATATATATATATGTAATCGTTTATATATTGTTAATTTGAGATCTCGCAGATCCGCTAAAAGAAGTTATCGAGTAGCCAGATTATATTTTACTAAGAAACATTACAATTTGTAATTCAGATGAGTAAAAAATACGTTTTATTTTCCGGTTATTCCAGATTTTGCTATAAACCGAAGAGAATGGAGAGCTTTTGAGCTTGTGAATATGGTGACCGATGTGCCAAATGAACTTTTAGACACAATTTTAGCGTTTTTCATTATTGGAGATCATTTTATACTGATACAAGAAAATGCACAAACTCTTATCGCCAGCAGTGCTTAAAAACTAAATACTGGAACTACAGCTTAAGATCAAAAGCAAATTTACAAACAATTAAGAATTATAAACTTGTAAATGTATTATATATTCAACATTTTCAAATTTATTTTGCTGAATTTTGAAAAGAGAAACTTTTTATTCCAACTTTGCATCTAAATAAAAAACTTACCCCTCTTCTGTAAATCATCCCTGGATATTTGACTAGTGAGCGCGGTGGGTGCTGGAGGGAGGCCAAGTGGGGGTGCCGTGGGGGTTCCCGGATACCAGGCCCAGCCCGGCGTTTGCCCGTTGAACATCCTTAATTTGTCATACACTGATTCATTTTGTGCGGACGCCTGCTGTTCCTTCTGCGACGCCAAATTTCTCAACACCCGATTTATTGACGACACCTGCAACAAAAAGAAATATTTATATAGAAGAAGAAAAATAATTGTCTACTAAGTCGTTAATTAGGAACAATTTCTTTTCTCAATTATTGTAATTTGTATAACTTCATCACTTAAATAAGGTTAAAGTTAGGATTTTCATCTTTTTTTTTTTGCTTGTTTTTTTTGGCTAATTTTTGTTTTGTGTAATACAGTACTATTCATTATATATATATATATATATATATATATATATATATATATATACATATATATATATATATATATATATATATATATATATATATATATATACATATATACAAAAAGTACTGGACATTAGTGACTGTCAATATAAACAAACAACACAGTTTATTAGTGCTGCAGTCAGAAGTTTGGCCGGGATGTTACAGAAACACTCTTTTGACTCATGGTCTAGCTTTCGAAATTGTTTTATTTCTTTTTCAAGATACTGTAATTAAAAAAATGTGTAAATATTTACAATATATCACAAATTGTTAGTGTACCTTACTAGTCGTTGAGATTATTTATATAAAGCTATGACACTCAACATTAATAACACACATATAAAATATAACGTATAAAATAATGGACAAACTACATTTTAAAACTTAGTTAATGATAGTAAAACTTAGTTTGTGACATCTTTTTATGATGTGTTTTAACTAATCCATAGAGAACAGAAAGAAAAAAAAACAAAAATATTACGATTAAAATGTAATCAGGTGTTGTTCATGTTTTATTAATGGAAGTAGTATATTAAACCTGTCTTGATGGTATGCAACATATTTTGCATGCAGGTGTATTATGTGTGTATATGTAAAAATAAATCTTTATTTTATTTTTGATGTTTTGTCAGTAAATAACAACAAATGTTGCTCAGTTTATCTATATCAGACTTTTTATTTATACAAAACGTATTGGATTTTATGAAACACATTTCCAAGAAAACACGTTTTAAATGGTTTTTTCCTTGGCCAAAAACTAAGAATGTAAAAACGGTATCAAATTTGTACACAAAGGCAAAGGATCCTTTCACAATACAGGAGTCATCGAATATTGTTTATTCTATACCGTGTGCCAATTGTAGAAACGTGTATATCGGAGAATCATCTCGTAATTTTCACAGCAGGATGATATAACATCGCAGCGACATAAAAACAAAAAAAAATAAATGCATGTGCGCTGACAGAATATGCATTAACGTTAAAACATGAATTAATACGTCTTGTATAAATAAAAAGTCTGACATAGATAAGAGCAATATTTATTGTTATTTACTGACAAAACATCAAAAATAAAATAAAGATTAATTTTTACATGTACATACCATAATACCTACTGCATACTACATACTACATACCTGCATGCAAAACATGTTGCATACCATCAAGACAGGTTTACTATACTACTTCCATTAATAAAACATGAAGAACACCTAATTACATTTTAATCATACTATTTTTGGCAGAGGTTACTAGATGTTTGATAATGTCTTTTGCAATTGCAGAAAATCACTCATTTATGGTAATATATATTATAGTAATATATTTTATTTTATATCTTTAAAGAAACCAAAAATCTAATAGAGACTCTAATCAGTGCAGTACTTTTTATAATGCTATTCACCCTTCATTAAAACCTGACAGTTAATTTTGCGGCTAGCGACCTATAATTTTGACCAATTTAATATTTAATTCGTTATAAGAAATCCCTCTAATTTTAGTTTTACAACCGAGCAATAACCGACAACCAACCCCAGCTAACCGATAAACTGTCGAGAATGTCGAATTACCACTCTATTGAAATCCATTAGGCTTTCAAATATTTAAATTTTATCCCATAGTCTACATCGGGTTCATAATCATAATAGAGCCAGAGCCGAATTCATAACTACACCAAAAAGATTTGACAATTGTAGCTCTTTTGTACGAATTCATTATCGTGTAAAATTCGCACTACCTCCTGCTACATAACCTTATTCGGTTTAAGATAGATTGGTCAAGTGATGGACTATATGTTTTAAGACTTAATTTAATAATATATATTTTTTTACAGTATAACTCAGTAAGACTCTTTCCAATAATTTCAGAGAATTTTTTATATCGCGGAATAGGCTCTTTGACACATTTTTTATTCAATTTAAAGTTTTAAATAACTAAGAGTTGTAGAAATAAATGTTAGAATTACTCAAAATCAATTTTTTTAAACCTAGGACGATCAATTTCAAAGACTACAATTAGCTGTTCATTTTTAGTTCTTCGGTAAGGTTAACTGAAGATGATGCCGGTTCAAGGCATGTAGTTACTATCTGATACTACATTTCTTCAGAATGGTCGTGAAGATGGTCGGACGACATTAAGCATATCCAGCACAATTGTATTTAAGGTTCCCTGGACCAGAAGCAATGGAATTATTTAAGGAGGCATATGTTAAGCACAGGACTTAAAACAGCTATTGGTGATGATGGTGATGATGCTACTTTTATTAAAGATCCGCTTTGAAATAAATTGAATATGCTGTAATATAAAATATATTCAAGATACTATCTTTGACATCTCGAGGAAAAAATAGGACATAAAAAAGTTTATTGTTTTTCCAAACATTTTCTATTGCTTTACTAATTTACTTTATAAAAGAAAAGCTTTATAAAAAAATAAAAGATGATTTCCATAAAGTAGAGCATTTGTGAATTATGAACTAGTACCTATATATTTATTATATATATATATATATATATATACATATATATATATATATATATATATATATATATATATTTATTATATATATATATATATATATATATATATATATATATATATTGTTATGATATGTAAAATCGAGAAAAATAGTGGTTTGTTTAAAATATTTCAAAGTTCAAAAACATTAAAATAATTTAGATAAGTAGGATAATAACCAACAAACATTTCAAAGAAGGAAAGTCTTTAAATTTTTGGATTACCTGTATTAAACAAAATGTAAGCTATGCATAAATTATTTTCTTTGTTATAATATACTTGAGTGACCCGCATAATTTTAAGTGAAATCCAAAGACAATTGAACCGGGTTTTCCACATACATTAATGCAGTGATTAAGGACAATAGAATAGATTTTAGAAAGAGGTTTTTGTTAGTTTTTAAGAATTGTAGAAAAATATTATTTGTAAATAAGTTTTAGGAAATTTTATAATTATAGGTAAAAATTTGTTTGTTATCGAAATGAAAAAAATGGGAGAATTGTGACAAGCTTTGATTGGCGGAGATTAAAAAAGGTGGGATAGGTATGTAGGAATGAAAGTTTAGCTAGATTTTTGAGAGAGAAAAGATAATCAGTTGGTTTCCAAAGGTAGAAGGCGAACGGCCATTGTTCTCGGGTAGTTTCCAGATGTAGGAATCAGTAGCAGTGAAAGTTTGTGAGTTTTCGTCTAGTTAGTGTATCTGACACAAGCTGATCCAGTAAAAGATTGTAAGTTATATTTTGTACTTATATTCCAAGAGTCACTGTTCAGGCCAACGAGAGATTCAGTTTATTGAGAGAAGAAGAAGGTAGCATAATTTGAACGATTCGTGCATTTGAAGGAGATCATTAAGGACGATAAACTTGCAATAATTTGTTGTAAGATTGCTGATTACCTAGGGAGCGGCTACGAGTAAATAGCATAGTATACAATTAACAAGGATTTGGACCACTCATCATCAGAGAGAGATAGTTTTGTTTTCTGCAGTTTTTCTTTTATTGATAACACAATTTTTTACATTTAATTCAAAAAGGATATAAATATTTTGATAGGAGATTTAGAATAATATTTGGATTTTGAGATTTCAACTAATATTGTTTGTACCATCAATTTTGAAGGTTCACGTACGTAGAACAAAATTTTGAGAATCATTATATGAGATTTTGTTTATTGAAAACATTTGAGTGTGAATTTTATTTCATTATTTTTATTTCAATATATAACGTTAGATCCTATATGTTTTTTATTATTCCAGTATTCTTTGGACCTTACCTTTCACATGTAATAGCATAGATATTAAAGCACGAGTTTAACCCTGAGATAAGAGAATTAAAAAGTGTGATAGAGTCATAATCATATCATTTAAATAATTTTAATTAATTAATTAACTAATTAGCTAATTAATTGCTTGGCGCACCAAGACTTTAAATATCACAATAATTATATATATATATATATATATATATATATATATATATATATATATATATATATACATATAAATTTTTTTAAACATAAATTTTCAAATAGATTTGTACTACCAGAGCGGCCCTGACCGGCATCACCATCACAATATGGGCATAAAGCGCATGATTTAATTTTTAAATCCAGGATATAGGTCCAGTGTAGGCCCGCCAATTACGCTAATGAAATTAATGAAATTGCGTATCTATTGTTGTTCGGAACTGGAGGGGAGCCACATGTCACCAAGTCATCGCGGTCTGCTTGTGACGGATCAGAAGCAGGATCAGTAAAAAGTTGATATCTGATTTGCAAAATATGCGTGTAGTGTGTTTACGTCAATTGCGTTTTATGATCGTGAGTTAAGATAACCGTACAGTAGCGTACAAGGCATTGGAAGTTTTCTAATGAAAGTAAATGAAAATATTTTATAATAAAAATTCGCAATGACTGTAAAAAAGTCTTTTCTTTTTGGTAATTTTTTTTGTGTGTAGTGTGTGGGATCATGGCCTCAGACAAAAATATATTTGCCATAAAACATGAGAATTATTAATTATGTGACATGTTTTAATGTATTTTTTTAAATTATCCCACTATTTTTACATTTCTGATAAATTTTATGATGGAATCAAGTACCGATTGTTCTGAGGAAAACAGGAGAGCTGATATATTTAGCGGCATTGAAAACTTATTGTGAATTAGTTCTTAACACACAACTGAAGAGAACCGAGAGTTCAGAGAACATTCGAGGAATATATGATTTAGAGCACCAATAGATACGTTGTCACAAATACAGACAGA